AAAATAAAAATTAAATTTTGTTTATATGAATAGAAAACTTTCAAAGTATCTGCTCTAATAGTATTTCTATAAACTTTTTAAAATTGAGGATTTACAGAATTATGTAAAAATATTTTAAATTTACTATCTTCAGCTAATAAAAATGGTTATTCAGCATATACAATATATTATGCCAACTCATGCCTCATTTTTCTTGTAAATATTTAAAAGTACCAAAATCCCCTCCCAATTTGTGTTTGGGATTTTTTTTCTTTCCCTTATTCTTCTTCTTGTTTCTCATGGCTGAGCAAATGTCTGCCCAAGTGGCCAATACCACCCTTGCTACAATAGCTATTGTCACTCCTACATTTTTGGCAAATAGCCCTTTTTCCCTTCCCCCCAACCTCCCATTTTTAAATAATTTCCAAACCGGACTAGTTAATTTAGTTCCCTTATTTTTCTTACCCCCAACACCAACAATAGTACTAGTAATAGGGGGTGGGAACTTCGACAATTTCAATAGCATCCATATCAATGTTAACACTATCGTGTTGCGATTGAACATTGTCAACATTGAACATACTGGAGAATCAGTTTCAAGAGGAGCCGACCATTTTTTAATTTAAAAAAAATAAAAATTAATTTAATTGTACTCACTCGGATAACTAGTTCAGAATATCAACTCGATTTCAATGGCCAAAGCCTACAAGCCTCCCAAATTGCTAACTTTAGATACTTGACCAAGCCTTATTCTTTTAGAAACATGAAAAAAAGTCGAGACTAGAGAATTGGAGAGTAGAGAGTATTGAGAGTATGAGAGTGTATGAGAAGAGAATTGCTGAATTGGTGTAATGAGAATGGAGAATAGGGCTATTTAAGAATTGAAAATAATTCAATTGCTCAAAATACCCTACAAACTAGTCATTTTTTAGTTGTTGGAAGGGGTATTTTGGTTATTGTAAAGTCATTTGTCATGCCGTCGTACCATGCCATTTTGAGTCGATGCAAAATCGTGTCAGGCCATGGGCGGCATATCCCAATTTATACCTTTAAATTCGCAAACTTTACAAATGTTTGTGAATTTAGTTACAAATTTTACAATGTTAAGTTTCATTTTGTCCATTGAACTTATAATGTACCAACCTATAGTAATTTTTTATGTATGACTATTTTATTGGGACTTCGAGGGTGAATGCTTTGTAAATATTTCAGTTATTTAAATCAATAGTTTTATCTTAAAAAAATAAAAAAAGGGAAAATTCCTGATCAGTACCCTGTACTTTGGCTTGAGTGACAATTTGGTCCCCGAATTTTAAAATGCGACAATTCAATACTTGAACTTTCAAAATGTGATAATTCAATACCCAAACTTTCAAAATGTGACAATCTAGTACTTATTGTTAACTAGTCCGTTAATCAGCCGTTAAATGGTATTTAAAAAGTAAAAAATGCCCTAAGAATGCCATCTAATTCTCTTTATTAATCATTCAAACATTGACAATAAAATGAACAGTCCCAAATTCTATATTCTTCTAAACATATATCAACTTTTTTGAATAGAAGATGTTAGGATTTAGGATTATTCAGTTTTTTGTCAACATTTGGATGATTGATAAAAAGAATTAGATGATATTCTTAGGATATTTTTGACTTTTCAAATGTCATTTAACGACTGATTAACGGACTACTTAACGACATGACAGGTATTGGATTATCACATTTTAAAAATTTGGATTATGGGAACGTCGCATCTTAAAGTTGGGATTAAATTATCACTCGTGCCAAAATACAGGGTGAATTTTCCCAATAAAATAACAAACGCGTATTAGATAACAACACGCACGTGAAAGAGGGGACATTTCAATAATTCGCAGGTCGTCTTCTTCCTCCCACTCTAAGACTCCACTTCGGGTGCCTGAGGCATACGATTCGTCGATTCGACAACCACTAAAAAGCTCTATTAGTTGCTGGACGGTGATGAAACGGTGGAGAGACAGACAGCGATGAAATGGCCGGGCGACCCCTTGACGCTTGGTTGGTTCGGTGTTGAAGGAGGGGAAAAGCTGGCTTTTGAGGACGGAGAGGTGAAGATTCCCAAAGATTCCATCCATGCCCATCTCGGCTGAGATTGTGGAACCCAAATCGATTATGGAGTATACTGTGCGGAGAACCCAAATCAATTCTTGTGATACAACCCAGGTAAGAACCTCACCATTGTAACCGCTTTTTCGTGTTTATGGCAGTTTTGTTCCCTGGTAAGAACCTCTTCATGAGATTTTTGGCGTTTCAAACCCCAATCTCGTTCCAAAACCCCCAAAATCCTTATCTTGTTTGTTGCATTTTTGTTTGAATTTTTTGTATGATTTACCGAAAAAAGATTGTTATTTGAATTTCGCATTGATCGGCATTTTTCCTGTTTGTTTGAGTTTCACAATGAATTGATTTGTGTTACGATCCATTTGTCCCGTATTAGTAACATGGGATGCTAATGGGAGGTATCCCATAGGTAATATGGGACAAGGATTTAAATATCAATACGATACGTTCGGTATGGGGCGTATGGTATCGGTATCGGCCAGAGGGGATACGGGATATGCTACCAATAAACCCGTATCCCCTGAATCGTGCGTACCGGAGCGATACACCATTGTATCGGTTCGTATCGTGATGTATCCAAAAAGTTACGCCTGGCGTGAATCAAACACAAACCTTTCCGTGCCAAAGCCTTGAACGCGCACTTGAACCATTAAGCCGCTTTTCATCTTATGAAGTCTAATAAAATAAAATAATTTCTTTCTATTCTAGTGTCCACATGTAATGCAAAAAAGTTACATTTTTGTTTAACAATTCCAGCAAAATAAAAAATAATAATAATATTCAAAACCAATATTTTATAAACTAATAGAATAAATAATTTCTTAAATCCACATTTATATCAAAAATTTGTTTAATCTCAAGAAATTTATACGAAAAAAGATATTAATAATAGAATAATTATTTTAGTACTTAATATTTATAAATTTGAACATGACATGTAACTTAAAATCTTATAAATTATTAATTAATATTTTAATTTGAATAAATAAAAGTATATATATTATTTGTAAAAATAAAAATATTATTTACAAAAACCTCAAGAATATAATATAAATTGAATTTGTCAAATCCATTAATCTACATTTATATCAAAAAATGATTTTTTATCTCAAAATTTATGGAAATAAAAATATAATAACGGAATAATTATTTTAGCAGTTAAAAATTGTGAATTTGTGTATGATGTGTATCTTAGAAAATTTAATATATTTGATATATTTTAGGTTAATATTATATGTTATTATAAATTTTTAATTTATATTTTAATTACATTTTATAATAACGTGTTTATTGTTTACAAAAATAAAAATATTGTTAACTAAGCATTTGAGAATTAATTTTTAGTTGATTTTCAGTTAATATTAAAAATTAAAAATAGTGAAATAGAAAATAATCAACATAATAATTCACATATAATAGTTGCATATGTTTTGTGCCTTGAAATTCAATAGAAAATAACATAATAATAGCTCTGTGCATGTATTAATTTAAATATATATATATATATATATATTATGTTCTGGGATTCTTGGTTGATACAATATCAATAAAAGTTTATGATTTCTATGCATCCCGCTATATTAATTGTAGTATATTTCTTCACATATACCTTTAGAATATACATTTTCTATGTATCTATACATTAATTATAGTTATTTTGATCTTAAAAATAATGTTATTAATATGTTTATAGAATTTATATGCATTTTTTGGCGTATCCATATTTTTTCGTCCGTATCCATGCGTTTCCAAAACGTATCCGTATCCGAGTGATCCGATACGATACCCGATACCGATACTTTAATCCTTGGTATGGGATGCTGTTGTGGGGTATATATGTGCTTGGGTTCCCTCCCTCTAACAGCTAGCTTTTAGGGGTGAGTTCTCCTAAGGCACATAACAATTTGGCGTTCGAAACCCCCAAAACCTTTTTTCTAATTTGAGTTTCCCATTTATTTTATTGTTTGTGTTTTTCATTTTCTTGTTCATGTTATTTGCATGTGTTAACACCATCTCATCTCAGATTTGCTTTGCTCCATGCGTCACCAACAATGAATTTTGTTTGTTTTTTAATGTATTCAAATATATTTTAAGCATCACTATGTTATTTTTAGTTTGTTTGTAGTTTGCTTTAATTTAACAAGGAGTGGCATTCACTGAGCACCAACAAGTGTTATCAATATGTTATTTGTTTTTCAGTTTGATTTTGCAGATCTGCTATGCTCTGCTCCAAATTGTCTTTGTTTAATTTGGATTGCACATCAAATATTCATTTCATTTAACTTGTATGGTTGACCTTTGAAATATAAAGAGGAATTGCTCTATTCCGAAAAAAGAAAATAAAGAACAAGTCATTTGGGTGGTGAAAATTGACACCCAAATGATAAGGTATACTGCATTTTAATAAAACTAATTATATAAGGATTGATTTACATAAAACTCTCAGCACTCTAGCCATATTTCTCATTGCCATGAATCATGACTGTTCTGTTGGAGTCTCCCTTTACCACTACATTCCATGCTTTTTACAAGTTCATTACACATTTCTTATATAAGGAAAAGACTAAGCTATGGCCGTTAATGTTTGAAGCCATTATATCAAACATTGTCATTTACATACTTAGATAAAGATAATAGAAATCTGACTTACCTGATTGTTTGCTCATAGTTATTTATCTCATTGTTTTATCAGCTTATTTATATATGCATTGTTGATAGTTATTTATCTCTTTGTTTAACAACTTATTTATATGGAGTCTTATATTAACTATAAAAAAAAAACTGTTTGCTCATAGGCTGAAAGCATGACATTCATATTGCTAGGTAGTGCCCATCTCGTCTAGAGAATTGATATGAGGAAATAGGGTGATGCCAAATATGATTTTGATTCTAAGAAACAAGAATCAGATGACTGTGCCAAACACCAAACACACCTGCAAATTCTCTGGATGAAAATTCTTAGAATCCATTCTTTTCTGGAAGGATTCTAAGAATGAAAATTTTCAGAATTGATGCCAAATAGGGCCTAATATTTTATAGTCTTCTCCGAATGATGAATCGACTTTCACCTTATCACTCCAATCTTTCTTCTTGTTGAACACTTCAAGTCTTCAAGTAGATTTGGCAATTTTCAACCCAACACACCCATAACGGATTGGGTTTTTTAGATGGGGTCAAAGAGTCACATAACGGATTGGGTGGGTTGGAAATGGGTTATCAAACGGGTATCCATTAACAAATTATTTCACATTTCAATTTTCTTCTTCTCTCTTCCCTTTCCGGAGTTCCCACTTCTCTAGCTTGTTTGTTCTTCACTGGTTCACCATTCTAACCCTAATCCAAGGTTGAAGATGGCGGCTATCAGGCTATCAGAGTCTATTGCTCTCTCTTGCATGTACTTCTCTCTTTTTCTCATTCTATCCATCTCTCTAGTTAAATAAGCCTAATCCAAACCCTAACCAGCACGAATTCAGCAGTTGTGATCCAAATGTGTTAAAATTCAAACCAGAGTTGGTATGGTCCGATTTGGTTTCCTGCAATTGTTAGTTGACTATAACCTTGGTTTTCTGAGGTTTACCTTTGCAACACAAACCAGTCTTGGGTTTATCTTTGCACAAAATCAAAGCAAACCAGAGCTACAACACATGCTCTTTTCTCTTCATCTGGGTTTATCTTTGCAATTGTTACTTGACTTTAGACATTGGTTTCCTGCAAAGTCTACACCAAAGGTTGGTTAGATTTCTGCTATATTTGTCATTGATTTTCTGTGTATAAAGTATCAGAAGATAAATTTATGAATTAATAAGATTCTGATGGAAATATGGGCTGGTCGTTTGAACGAATTGCTTGCCAATTGAAGTGAAAGACAAATCAGGAATCAGTCAGTAAACCTCTGCATCCAGTGCTCACCTAGTTTCTTTCTCAATTGGTATTTGGAATGTTTGCAGTTCAGCTGTTACAAATTGTTGCTAGAGTAATCTATCCATATTATGCAAGTCTTTCTAACTTCTACGAATCTGCTATTACCTTCCCCTCTTGAATGGTTTTGCTTCTTGCAGTGAATTATTGTTTGATGTCTCAATCAGATTATGCAGTTAGAAGTTTAGAACTTAGAACCTATAATGCTGTATCAGGCTTAGAACTACAGTAGTTTCTATGTGGATATCTTTTCTTACCCACTAAAAGCAGATTTTTTTTTCCTATCAAACCAAACACAACCTTAACTATACCTCCATATTAGCTTGGAACCTCTCCAAAATGCATGATGTTCTAAAGGGCATGTGCAAGTAACGAGAAGGTTTTATCTCAGAAAGATCCTGAGTCTAGACCTGAGTATAACATAACAATTAATTGTGTCAATATTGTTTATTTTTCTGACCACAAAGGAGTTCATGCCATGATTATGATATGGTACTGTACAGATTTCATGACTGGGAAGTGTGTGGCATGTAGCTGTGACCACTAACTGTCAGAGATTGACCTTTCAGTCTTAGTGGAGATCAGATCGGTGTCCCACAGCACCTCCCACCCGTGTATTGGGAACATCTCCCCATGATAAGTACAGGAGATGTTCCCAATGCACGGTGAGATGTGCATGTGGGGTACCCTCTGTGATCTCAAGTTAGTGTTCTTATGTTTTAAACTTTAGCATTGTTCATGAAATTTTATCTAATTGTTATTATAATGTTTGAGGGAAAACTAAAATTGCAAAGAGAAAACAAATAACAAAATTATAGAAAATTAATCTCTGGATGGGAAAGGGTGAGTTTCAACCGGCATTGATTTGACTCAATGTTTCAAAATTTTCTAGTTAATTAAAGGGTAGATTCATTCTGGATAGTTGTGATACCTGGTGGTGGTGGTAAGAATGGATGGTTTAGAATATATAACCAATGTGGTCTACTTGGAGGTGTGGGAGACTCATAGTTGTAGGCTATCTGTTTTTGGCACATTTGTCCCTTTACCATCATCAAAACTTCCTGCATGTATCCTAGATTTGCATATGGATTTCTTAGGTTCTTAATGATGACATGATGTTTCATTTTCCAAGGGGGTAAGGGGGTCCTCAAAGGTGTCAATCAAAGCCATTACTCGATGTTGACCCCAACCATTTGATTTTTTTCCCCACTTCAAGCTTTCAACAAGTTATTTGAGTTGATTTTTGATCTTCTAAAAAAGAGAGACTGGTCCTTTCAACTGGTTGTTCTTTGGTATATCTGTTTTTGTATTTCAAAGATATTATGTTATTGCTTTTAATATGTTACATCATTACTGAAAATGCTGTATTTAATTATGTTATTGCTTCTGATTGTTATCTTTGAAGCAAGAAACCTTCAGGGCTTAGGAAAGAGAAGAAAAAAAAAACTGTTTCTTCTTGGTGTTGAAGAACTATATTTTGATGATGCACAGCTTTGATGTTATCGGCAACTGGATGGTTAAGTGAATTGTGTTAATCATAGCATATAGAAGGGGCCAGTTTCTATAATTTCTGCTTTTTTCCATGTTTTTCTGTAATTTCTGGTATTTTTCTTCATATCTTTTGTTTTCCATAATTTCTATTGTATTTTCTGTAACTTTTGTAATTTTATATTTCCTGTAATTTCTGCTATTTTTCTGCACTTCTCTGTTTTTCTATAATTTTTATTTGCATTTTTTCTGCAATTTATGTTATTTTTCTGCTATTTATTTATGTTTTATTTAATGAATTAAAAGATTAATGGGTTTGCCGGGTTTGGGTTGGTGGATTGGTTTGGACTGAAGCTTATAACCAAACCCAACCTGCTACCCCTATGGCCCCACTCTAAATGCTTCAATGTAGCAGAATACAAGGAAAGGGTACATGGCTGAAATTTCCCTATAAAATAAATGACCTTTTATTACTAGCAATTCATGATAATGACCATTCTGTTGTTCCGTGCAGCAAGCTGCTTAATTTGACTCTGTTAATGATTTGAAGTGGGAGTGTCAACAACATACCTGCGATGAAAATAAGCAACAGCTGCAGTAGTCTTATGAGAAGAAAGAGAAGATGGCCTCGTTCAGTGGCCTACAAAGGCAAATGGCAAGAGACCTTCAGTGAACAACAAGCAATCGAGATGCTAAAGCAGGCAGCAGCATTAACACCACAACCCCAACAAGAAAATGTTAGCGAACCTTATTTACTCTCTTCTCTCATCAATTCCTTTAGCAGCTACTGTTGTGAACCTACCTCTTTTGCCTACTCATTCATCATCAAGGCCATGACCATTAATTCACAGTTTGATAAACTACCTCCAGTCCTTGATCGCCTTGAGAAAGTTGAGAAATTTGAACCACCTGAGCAAATCTTCATTGATCTCATTCGAATCTATGGTGCTGCAAATATGCTTCAGGATGCTGCTGATATCTTCTTTAGAATCCCAAATTTCAGGTGTGTCCCCTCTGTGTACTCCCTCAATGCATTGCTTTTAGTTCTTTGTAAGAAAAGAGAAGGACTCCAAATGGTTGAACAAGTTCTATTGAGGACTCAAGCAATGAATATTCGGCTTGAGGAGTCCAGCTTTAAGATTTTAATTACTTCACTTTGTAAGATAAATAAGGTTGGTTATGCAATTGAGATGTTGAATCTTATCCCTCAGTGTGGATATAGTCCTAATGTAGAATTGTATTCTCTGATACTCTTGTCGATGTGCAAATGTGGGGATTTCACCCATGTTGAGGTTCTGGATTTCTTGGAAGAAATGCGTAAGGCAGGATTTGTCCCAAGTAGAGTGGATTATGCCAATGTGATAAGGTTCTTGGTTAAGGAGGACAGGGGAATGGATGCTTTGAATTTGTTAAATCAAATGAAAATTGACGGAATGAAACCTGATACCATTTGCTACACCATGGTTTTAGACGGGGTTGTCTCAGCTGAAGACTTTCAGAAAGCAGAAGAGCTGTTTGATGAGATGCTTGTGCTGGGTCTTGTTCCTGATATTTATACTTACAATGTTTATATAAATGGTCTGTGTAAGCAGAATGATGTTAAAGCAGGATTTAAGTTGCTTGATTGTATGGAACAATTGGAGTGCAAACCTAATGTCGTTACTTATAATACACTATTGGATGCTCTTTGCAAGCTTGGAGATTTGACAGGAGCTGAAAAACTTGTGAAGAAGATGGAGCTGAAGGGAGTTCAAGGCAATTTGCACACCTATAGGATTTTTATTGATGGATTTGTTCACAAAGGTGAAGTGGTGAAAGCGTATGGATTATTGAAAGAGATGCTGGACAGGGGGTTTCTTCCTAGTTCTTCAACTTTTGATGAGATAATCTATTTATTCTGTGAGAGGGGGCTCATGTGTGAAGCGGTAAAATTATTAGAAGAAATGGTTCGAAGGGCTGCTTCTCCTGGGACAAAAGTGTGGAAGGCACTACTCCTTGGTTATGGCTTTAAATCCAAGTCTTGTGAGAACTACCTCCCTCCCTTTGGAGGATCTATTATGTAATTAGTCAACACAGGTCACTATTGTTGTAGTAACTTCTGTTATTGCTTATAATAGACTGCCGTTTCTGAGTGTCAAATAATTAGTGAAGAGATGAGGTACCGGTATAATTTCTGAGCTCAGATCTTCCGCAAACAAAAACTCTGCTCACTTAACATACGGTCATTGGGAATATCTACCGTATATGTATGTTAAATTCATGGGGAGATCAGAGATGTTCCCAATGTGTGGTTGGATTTCCATGCTTCTTGCATAGTTTTTACTTGTAGCGAATCCCATTGTACAATTTCTCTGCCAAGAGAAGCAGTTGCAGAAGAAGATTAAGAGTTGAAGTGCAGGTTTTCTGGTTTCTGGCTTTCCCAAGTGGGCCCCGCATTAATAGCCTAACCTGAGCAAGGTATTGCAAACAACATGAATCTGGTTTTCCCAGGGTTTTGAAGAATCAAAACCCTGCCCATCGGGCAAGGAATTGCAATCAATTTCACCGATTCAAAGAAAGGCAATGTACTTATTGTGACCATCGAGCCATTCTCAATTCATTTCTAAAAAAATGCAGAAAATGTAAAAGTGATTATCCACAACGACTTTCAATCTATATTCTAATAAATATTAAAAAATTATTTTTAAAATAAATATTTCTTAAATTTATAATAATTATTTAAAATATTAATAAATATAAATTTAACATTATTGATTTAAATTTAATATTACTGATTCCCAATAATTAGTACGGGGTCATTCACTAGTTCAATAAAGATAACACTTCGTATTATACAACATCGTGTTTAAGGACTCGTATAAATAGAGAAAGACGTGCATCTTGATCCAAAGTGGGATGCCTTGCCTGCAACCAACGGGATTCCCGATAGTCGAGAACGCACAAGCATGCGTTGGCTGTGATGAGGCGGCCATCGAGAGTGAATTTCATGAAGGATACAGACCAGTTTCAACAATTTAAAGATGGTCAATATGTTCCGGTAACACTACAACCTTTTTCAGCTAACCACTGGTTAAAGCTACAAAAGGCATTCAAGTAACTGATTTTCATACATTCCAGATCAATATAAAATTATGTTCCGGTAACACTACAACCTTTTTCAGCTAACCACTGGTTAAAGCTACAAAAGGCATTTAAGTAACTGATTTTCATACATTCCAGATCAATATAAAATAGTAAATATACACCACATTTCACATACATCGTACACATTATGTATGAGATCACATGTATACAGCAGTACAAGAATATCATAGAATGCTTTACTTCCCCCCATTCACCATACTTTTCCCAGGCGTGCCTGATAAGCTGGGAGATGTGTTATTTGTTGTCTTCTTAAACCCTCTGTCCGCATTCCCAAGAACATTGAGATCTTCAAACAATCTGTACGAGGGAATAAATGGTTTTTGTTCAGCCACAGAGGCTGAGTTTCTTGGGGTGGAGCTCACCTTTGCTTCTTTTTGAATAGTTGACCCGCTGCTTCCTACTGAGGGGAATGAGTTGAAGTGCTGCAAAGACCTAGTTATCTGCAGGGGCAGTTGAATAGCAGCAGCATTGGCATGAGGGGTCATATATGTGTAAGGCGTAGTCGAAGGACCCTGGTCTGAACCGGCAGGAGCTGTTGCCCATGGTGGGGGAGGATAGCTGGACGAGTACTGGGGAAACTGAGGTTGAGCTTGGGCCCAAGGAACAACATAACTGTTGTAAGATACCTGCCCTTGGTTTCCAGGGTAAATCTGCGGTCCATATGGGTACCCTTGTGTCGTGGGAGAAACAGGTATTTGGTGCATGTCATGGTTAGACGCTGATGGAAGTGTTAAAGGAGTATGGGGCGAGGTTGAGGTTGTTGACAAAGTGATGCTCAAAAGGTCAATCATATCTTGCTCCTTTGTGGTGGTTCTGATCGATGTAGGTGGATTTGGTAGAGCCAAATCCTTACTTGGAGAGGGGGTTGAGACTACTGGTGTTGATGGGGTTGTAACATTGGTCATGTTCAATGAGGTAGAACTTTCACGGAGGCCAGAAGATGTGCTTTGAGAATGTACGGATGTAGTTTTTGAACGCCTGCATTTATAGAACACCAAAATCCATCATCCACCAAATTAAGCAAAAAACAAAGGTCTTTGTCAAAAAACAACGTTAATAAACAGATCAGAAATGGAATAAAAGAAACTAATAAAAATGGAATGACAGTAAATATGCAACCACATAGGGGAAACAGGGATACAGTATCAGACATCCAGTCAAATTGATTTCTAGGCCATAAATTAGGCAACATGCTACGAGAAAAGTTGAGTTGTGACATATCAGAAAAGCTAGACTCATACTTTTTGAGTTGTTCTAGTAATAGTTAGTATAGATATCCATTCACGTATGCATGCAAATATCTATGTATACATTAGGAATAGGACTTCCAGAATTTTCAAATGAAAACTCTACTAAACATGAAGATGAATACACCTGTAACTGACCTTATCAACGGTTCCAGTATTCTGAATTTTTACAATAGCCTATTGGCAAAACCAATTTATATCTGGACATCCTGCATTTTTTTTTCTAATTTTCCCCCTCACATGTATATTTACTGCATATTTACCAATAATGATTAGTTCAGAAGGAAAGATAATCTCCCATCAGTCAATTTTATTATATAAATATCTCCCTTGGTGGTATCACTAGTATTGAATCTTGCATCTTGCGATGAACAATAAAGTTTATCTCCCTATGGAATAATAGACTAATTATAAATTCTTTGATAGAAATAACTCACCTGCGAGCTAACTGGGCAAAGTCATCATCCTCTTCTTCCTCTTCCTCAAGCTGGGCCTTTGTTGCAGCTGCCATCGGTGTATAGGATATCATGTTTGGTTTGGGGCTGGCATCTCTTAATTCTGGCTGTCCAGGGTTGGTTTCTCTTACTTCAGATGGTTTCACACCAGCATCTCTTATTTCAAGTGGTCCGGCACTGGTGTCTCTTACTTCAGATGGTCTGAATCTGTTTTCTTTTACTTCAGTTGGAAGGGATGAACCAGAAGCTATAGAATCATGTTTTGCAAGGACACTTTGTAGATTGTCATTTAATGCAAGACCTTGGCCTAGGACCTCCTCATCACTGCCAAATAATTTTAGAAAAACCGTTAGCCAAAACCCAAAACCAGATCATAGCAAATTGATATCTGTAATTAGCTCAAAGCAATCACCCTCAAGATTGTATTCATGGGCTCATAACTTCCATTTATCACCAAAAAGGAAAATTTTTAATATTGTAGGTCTATTTACATTTTACAAAGCAAATTTATATCATGGTGATATTCAACATCTATAAGTACTTCACAACATACATATCTAACTCAATAGAAACTAGAAGGAAAATGAACTGTCTATAGGTAAAGAAATATCGAGTCCTTAGAATGTTCTTTCTATAAATATATTGTCAAAATATAGCACATAATATGCAGATGCACATGCTTAAGTAATACGCATACAAGTCTATAGTAAAGAAACATCGAGTCCTTAAGAATGTTCTTTCTATAAATATATTGTCAAAATATAGCTCATTAGCATGCAGATGCACATGCTTAAGGAATATGCACATAAGTATGCTAGTGTCAGGTCGTTCACTGGGCTTCCTCAGGTGACTTATGAACCTTCCACATGACAATTTGTTTCAGGACCTCAAAGGAGCCCCCCTTGTTTGTCTCACGGACTTTATCCAAGGAATGAATGTCAGCCTAAAAGACCTTGCCATGTGATAAGTCTTGCAACATAGTCATCTTCTAAACTATAAAAAGCTGAAGCATTGAATGACCAATAGTATAGCAAAACTCCAATACAAGGTGGAGCAACAATGGGTAGATGGATCATGGTCATAGGAGTAAAAATATAGCTGATTTAGATAGTCCCTTTTTTGGAGAATTGTCTGGATTGGCTACATGATTAGTCCACATGAGAAATAGGTTGGTCTGTACTCTGTAAAGGGAGCTTCCCTACTTTGACCCAGTTAAAGTAGGGAAGCATTGTTATATTATAATTTTAAAGAGGGAAACAGTGTTATAAAAAATATTGAAAATAAATGAAGAACTTAAACAAACTCAATAGCTATTAGGTATCAGAATATGGAAACTAAAATTCCGGATATAACCAGACTGGCAAGAATACATTAAAGCCAACACATTTAGATTTTAAAAAATCTATATTACCCACTGCTGTGTGTCCACTGGCATAAATACCATTTTTTGACATGGATAAAAATTATTCTTTCCCATTGACCAACTTTACAGTGTTCTTTTTGCATTAAGTACTGGGCAGTCTGGACCCCACGGTAAAGAGAGTTTCGTTTACCCGGGTAAAACTTACCCATCTCCCAGGTGGGTAAGTAACTTTCCCACCTAGAGGAAAAGTTTATAAAATATAATGGGACAAGTTTGCCTATTTTAACATTAGCTTTTTATGGGTAAAAAAGTCATTATATTACTTACCTGGGAATCAAAAGAACATGGGTAAAAAAGTCATTATCTGTTGGGTTTATAGTGGACCAATTGGTTTCACTGACTCAACTAAGGCTGAAGTGTTGGATGCTCTCACAGGAATCAAAATAGCTAAAAGTTTGGGACCTTGGGTATTCATTATCTTTCCATCACAGGGAACTCAGCAAATACCATCAAATGGTTAAGGGACAAAGAAGGGGGGTCCTTGGAGGTTAAACCATTATTTGGCAGAAACAAGGGATACTCTAGACAGTTTAAATGTAAACCTGTTTTTTTTGAAAGGTAAAGTAAGATTTTATTAATTCAGAAAAAAACTCATTACAACAGGAGAGCTAACCATTAAATGGCTACTCAGATCACAGAACAAGTTAAAGAATCCAAATGGATTTAGATCTAAACAACTCAGGAACATTCAAGTTTTTAAAATCAGGAGCTACAGACACCCAAGAAATCAGCTTGCTAACCGCCTGCTGCACAGTCTCCTCAGTGCTCTTTGTTTTGTTGCTAGACACTTCTGTTCCTTTCTGACCAGATTACCCAAAGCACAGCTGCAGGAATACTCTCCATATTAATTTTCTTTTTTTCTTCAGGCCTTGAATCTCCCAGCATAGCAGATCTTTTACTGAGTTTAGCATGACCCAGCAAAGACCAATAGACCTTAGAAAATGATTCCAAACTCTGGAAGAGATAGGGAAGTGGATACATAGATGGTCTGTGGATTCAGGCAATAGACCACACAAACCACAGCAAAGAAAGGGAGATGAAGACCCCTCCTATCTAGGTTGATTCTTGAGAGGCATTTGTTCAGCACCATTGTCCACACAAGGAAGTTAGACTTCGAGGGAGAACTAGGATTCCACACTTGATGGCAGGGAAAGTCAGTAACCCCTGTTCTACTGAGCTTAGAAGTAAGGGATTTAACTGAGAAGCACCCATCCCTACTCCAAGTCCAGCTCCATTCATCTTCACTATTAATGTCTATAGACTGATCCTGTAATAGCCGCAATAGCTGCAGCACCCCATCTATTTCCCAATCGAACAGATCTCTTCTAAACTGAGGATTTCATACCACTGTATTGTTGGACAAAACATAGGAATCTGCCACTGAGATTTCCTGGTTAGCTGCACATTGGTAAAGAAGGGGAAAAGCCTCTGATAAAGATCTGTCCAAACACCAGGATCTTTCCAAAATTTCAGCCTGCCACCACTTCCCACCTTAAATCTCACACCTTCATACATCACAGGTAGACATTTAAGAATCCCTTTCCAAACCGAACAGCCCCAGTTTGAGAACAGATCCTCTGACTTCCAATTCCCCCAATCCACCCCATATTTTGAGGCAATTAAGGACCTCCACCAAGAATATCTTTCTGAAGCAAACCTCCAACACCATTTGCACAACAAAGCAGAATTTACCACCTTCAACCTTCTTAGCCCCAGACCCCCCTCTGCTTTAGGCAAACATACTTCCAATTTCCAAGGGAACTTAATGCTTTTGCAGATGGCTTAGCTAAATTGGGTGCTTGCTTAGAAAATCTGTATAGTGATAGGATTCCTCCTTTGTAACCTTTGGGGTTCTCCCCTGCTTTGTACATCCTCTCATGTATTCCTTTTTATTTTAATGAAATCTGGTTAAACTTTTCTCAAATAGAACATGGGTAAGTGAGAAATTTGTAAATGAATGGGGCTGTTGTGCCAAGGATCACCTTTATTTTTAGACATGGATACTAAAGGCAAGTAGTCAAAATAAAAAAGGATTTTTTTGGTGTAAAGGGTGCATCCAGTAAATAAGTTATAACACAAGGTGCATAAATACTAAATACAGATTCAAAACAGGGATAAGTAAACATTTATAAAAAACAGGGATCCAAAAAATTATGCTATTAAATAAAAAAGGATTTTTTTGGTGTGAAGGGTGCATCCAGTAAATAAGTTATAACACAGGGTGCATAAAGTAAACATCTATAAAAAACAGGGATCCAAAAAATTATGCTATTTATTATATTAGGGCTTCCTCTCCCTTGTGCCTCACCTTAGTGTTTTTACATGGGAGGAGTGTGCCAATTTTAGATGTAGCCTACGTTACATAAATCATATTGTATAGATAAGGGTAAAGTAACTGGAAGTGCATTGTAAATGTGACTGATTTTCAATTCAAAGAATGAAACAACCAAAGAATGGGTTTAGCAAAATCTTAACTATGATAGGTTTTCAACTACTAGCCTTAATAATAGTATTCTGCCACCTACCTCCTTTTCTCACAATCATTGCAAGTAAAACAGGGGCCTCAATTTGTTCATTTTTTATTCTTTTTTCCCCTTCAATTAACCACACCCTCCCCCCTCTCATGTTCAACATAACAGGCAGTTAATTGGATAAGTAGTTCAAATACCATTTTATATGAAGCCTGAAGGATGGTAGTAAAATTTGTGGAGCGTTCATCTTTTAAACTGTTAATGAAACCTAATAGCAAGACCATTCTATAGTATCTAAACTACTTATTAGTTTAAACCGTTCTATGGTAGTTCAAATACCATAGAATGGTCTTGCAATCAGGCTTTATATAATTGACAGTTTAAAAGATGGACAATTCACAACCCTTCAGACCATAACATACAACTGACACAAGTAGTATATGTAATATCCAGTGAACCTCAACACCTAAAAAACTAAATAAACTAAAAAAATGGATAAGGCTTACACAGTTGAATTTAACATCTGCATGAGCCTTCTCTGGTTGGAGTGGCACCGGCTGACAAGATCAGCTATCACTTCATCTTTTAGGGCCTAAAAAGACAAATGCAATAGAACTTTCAACTTTTGTCAAATTATACAGTGACAAGTAACAAGGACAAAATCATATCTTAGTATTTTTTATAGGAAATAAAAATTTTTATTAAATAATCAATAGTATCAAGTTATACGATGAAGGTTTCCCAATGAGAAGCGCAAGATGCAACCTCAATTACTATCATTTACAATTGAGCCCAATATAGATGATCCTTATTCACCCCTAGCTTAGCTAAGTAGTCTGCCATCTCATTGGTCAATCTCCTTTCCCTTTTTTGATCGGTAAAACAAAAAATATTAATTCATTAGAATTAAAGAAAGAAAGAGATACAACAAGAAGTTGTGAAAAAACAGAGAACCAAAGAAAAAACAAAACCACCCAAAGCTATTAACTATGCCCAATACATAATCTGTCTTTGAACCCCTTGCTTGGCTAAGCCATCAGCCAAACAATTTGCAGATCTTCTAACCCAATCAATTTGAATACTCATATCTCCTCAGAGTCATTTCAAACACCTTAAATTATTCCTTAAGTGCCAAATCACCTCTTCCCCCTTTTTCAGCCATCCCACAACAACCTTCAAGTCCCCTTCAATGATCAATCTTCTAACACCCAAAACTCGTGAGAGCCAATCTCCTTTCCCATTGAAGTCTTACAGTCACATTTGTGCTTTGTGGTCAGCCATTTAAATCCTTTCACAGCTTCCCTGTAAGTCTAGACTAGTATGTCTGGGTCCTTCAGCCCCCAACTATTAGCTTAGAATCCCCTTCAATTGATAATTTGTCATAGTTCAACTCTCTAGCAATCTGTTCTCCTTGCAACACTGATTGGGACTCAGCATGAATAGAGTCCCCTACTCCTGCAAGACCTGGATACAAGGCAATAATATGGTTTTCTGCATTCCTGAAAACACCCCCTATCCCCTCCTATTCATGAAGTCCCTGGATAATCCAGGCTGTTACCATCCAAAATTGAGTTTTATGAATCCTTCTTCAGGAGGTACCCAAACCAAAATAGGCATTTCCTTATTAACTGAACTTTCTGCCACAGATTCCCAATTCTGCCAAATATCACCAAAGGAAAACTAGGAGAACAAATCCAAAGTTTTGGCCCAATGTATAGCCCTCTTTATAATGCAAAATCCCAAACAGCATCCTTGTTTCTTTCTTTAAAAATTCTAGCATTTCTCTCCTCCCAAACCGTCCAAACCAAAGCAACCTGCAAACAGCAGGTCTCCACGGGATCCTATCCCTTCTCTTGGGCCATCCAAAGGTTGCAAGATTAAATAAGCAACCAACCTGCAAAGGCAAATTCTACCCACAACCAAAAAAAAAAAAAAAAAGAAACCAACTTTCCCAAAGGCCTGCAACAAAAGGACAGGAGATAAGTAAGTGGTAATAGCTCTCACCATTAGCTTAGCAGAGAATACACCAGTCTGGGAAAATACTGAGGAAGGGTCTTCTTTGTTGTAGGTTATCCCAAGTAGTTAATTTCCCATGAATGACTTCACAACAAAGATCTCCAACCTTGGGTAGATGGTTTGGACCAAATTTCTTTAGAAGAGAAAATCATAGAGGTATTGATCAAAAAAAAGAAAATCATAGAGGTAGCAGTAGAGCACAGGGAAGAGAAAAAGGAAGCACAAGAGAATAGGCCCTTAAGTGAGGAGTCCAAACCCGACTATCTAGTTTAGAGGGATCCAAAAGGAAATAATCAAGAGCTTGCAAAAGCAAGGCAACACAATCAAACTCATGGTCTTTCAAATTTCTTCTCAAACCTAGGTCCCAACTAATACCTACCGTCAGGGAGAAAGAAGCAAATCTTTGGGTAGGTTCATTTTTAAACAAGGAGAGGGAATACAAGGAAGGAAAAAATGGTTGGGTCCTAGTTTTTTTTTGTTTTTGATCAATAACACTTTCATTAATTCAACAGTAGAAAATTTACAAGTGGAAGACAAACACACTTATCCTCCAAGAGTCACAAAGAACTTCAAGAAATGAAAAAAGAAAAAACAAAGATACAAATTGAGTTAGGTTGGGTCCTAGTTGCTGGGTTTTGTTTTGGTTTAGGGTCTGGGAATTGAGTTAGGTTGTTGTCTTCTTTTGCTTTTTGTAATTTATGAGAAAAGAATCCTATTTGTAAGAAGGGATTTATCAAAAAAATCCTATTTGTAAGAAGGGTGAAGGGTTGTATTGTTTTAGGTAGGTCCTGGTTGGTTACTTTGGGGGGGGGGGATATCTTATCACCTGTTTGTACTCTCTTTTTCTTTAATATTTTTCTTTTTATTTATTAACAAAAAAAAGAAAATAGGTCCTTAAGACTAGCGTTAGTTACCAACCCAAAGTTCTTCCCAGAACATGACTTTATCTCCACTCTCCAATACATGCATCATACCTATTGAGGCTTAGAAACTGAGGGAGAATTCCATGTATAGCTTTCCATGGAGAAGCCAAAGTAGCATGTTGACAGACACCGGAGAAGCCAAGTAGCATGTTGACAGACACCAGCATCCTGACCATGGCCAACCTGCCCATGTATGCTTTCTACTACCTCATGCCAAAGTCTCTCCCTCTCACTAACCTTAACCAATTAGAACTAGACTGAATTGCCTTCTGTTAGGCTTTGTTTTAAAATATATGCCTAACACTAGGAAAGACTTTTCCCCAGAGTAACCAACCCAAGCCCAACCCAGTCTGGCATGACTAACCTTAACCAATTAGAACTAGACTGAATTGCCTTCTGTTAGGCTTTGTTTTAAAAAATATGCCTTACACTAGAAAGACTTTTACCAACAGTCCCTAGAGTAATCAACCCAAGCCCAACCCAGTCTGACATGACTAACCTTAACCAATTAGATCTAGGCTGAATTGCCTTCTGTTAGGCTTTGTTTTAAATAATTCCCAGGATAGGTGTACTGTATCAGAGTTTTTTTTTTTTTTTTGAAAACTGTAAAGTGCTTTCATTAAAAGATCCATAATAAAGACACCTGTAAAATGAAAAATGAACAGAGGATATACAAAAACCATCTCATCCCTAACAGCCTTAATCCCCCCCAAACGAAAACAATTAAATTTGCAAATATCAACCCAGGAAGGTCCCTCAAAATTCAGCTTTGGTGGTTCAGTCAAGGAGAATTCCAATTTCCAATCAGGGCTAGCTAGGCACTTAGGCCTAAAATCCGAAACCATCAAAATTAGTTATTTTGTGTTTGCTTGTGTTTTTTACTTTTTCTTTTCTTTTGTTAATGTAAAAAATGTAGAATAAGCAAGAAAATGTAGACAGCTATGTAGATTTTTTAATGGAGTTACCACTGTCTGATGCTTGAGAAATCGGTTTCTGATGAGAGATGGAGGAGGTGTTTTTTTGTATTTGATGATATGCACCACACTAATACCCCCCCCCCACAAAGTCGGTGGTTGCGGGAACCAATCTGCATCTAAGCTGTAGCAAATCAGCCAACATACCAACTGAGCCACCCCTCAGTTGTCAGTTGGAATGTTATGGAACTTGCCAATTTTCTTACTGCAGTAAACAGCTTCCTGAAGGGTTCTTTTCAGACCAAATTGGATCTCTAGACCAAAAAGACTTAATGTCATCTTTCTTTGGGGTATTTGAAGGTGATATTTTGTGTAGATTGATTAGCCTATCAAATAGATCCAATTTGTTTAGATTTTAGAGGTTTCAAAGAGTTAAAGATACAGTTGCAATGTCACACAATCAGTTAGCTAATGATATTTCATTTCTGTGAGCATCAAGTGAAGGTTTTGTTTCACTTCAACTAGCTTATAATAATGCATGTACATATTCAACCATTCAAAAAGTTGACTAAATTAACACATGTTATGTATACACAAGCATGTGCACACAAAGAGACACATTCAAATGTTTTCTTCATGTGTAGGTCATAGTGAACATACTTCACTTTTCAGATTGATACAGTAAATACCAATTATTGTTGCACAAGGATGGAGCTAAATATATAACTGCAAATACCTCACGATCATTTGGGTTCACTGCCTGCAGCATCTCAGTTAGAAGCTCCATAATGCTCCACATAGAATCAATGTTTGATAGACTGAAATGATATGGGAAACATTTAAACAAAAGCCAGTCCCCCCAAACACTCCTCCTCCCCGGCAGCAGGGAAAAGGTAATAATAATCAACAATCTTTTCAGACCAAAGTCAAAGCCAAGCCTTACCTTAAACTCTCTACCTCAGATGCCATTGCTTCATCAAGCCTTCTTGTGGTATTGCTGGGCATACCATATCCTGCTTGAATATGTCTTGGCATTGGATGTGTAACAGGTGGTGTAAATATAGGAGCCGCATCTGATGAACGCTGTGGAAATTCTACTCCAGACCGCTGCCATTGGTACAATCCCAATTTAAGAATCGTATTGTCCATGAATTTGGCAAGGCTTATAGTTTATTATATAAAGAACCAAATGCAAGTTTTAGTTGGTAGCATATGCATACCCTTAATTCCTCATATGCCCAGTAATATTGAGGATATTTCCCCCCAGGTCCACCAAATGCTTCTTGCCAAGAGTCTAGCAAGACTAATATTTTATCTCTCACATTCATATCCATCTGTAGAAATCCATAGAGGAAACTTCTTATAACCTGACTTGCAAGAGTACTCCAAATGATACATGGTAATAACAATTAACAAATGCATGGGAAAATGGTCAAATGAAGAAGAAAAGTGTAGTATAAATAATTACTTAATACAAGTTAATGAAAGAAAAGTATCAAGATATCATTCAAATACCTATCCAGGTTACCTATAAAAGAAAGAGATAAAAGCATATTTCTGGAATGAAATATTATCACCCAAGCATATGGTGGGACGATACTATCAGCCAGGCTGGGTTTTGACCACTTCATGGGCTAAAAAAATCCAGATCATCACTTGCCTTTCTGGCCACTACTCCTGGCTGCTTGGTGATATATCTAAACCATGCCTGAATTCAAAGAAAAAATAAACCATGCAATGACTTGAAATAGGGTCTACCATTTGGTCACCTAAGGCCAAACTTTGAAGGATACTGCCATTTTAAGCAAAGAATAAGCCATCCAACAAATTCAAGCATGGTCCAAAATCTGCTCAAGTATGGCTGGAATTTGATTGCAAGATATAACCACCTTGAGAAGACAAGGATTTCATTGGGGACCTTGGTCCATCAGGTATAGGCCGCATGTGTAGAACAACAATGGTGTTATCAAGTAACACTTTTTTGGCCAGTGAGACTCTCTTAGTGCTCCAAAAGATCAAATGCATGACTTCATAGGACTAAAGCTAAGAGGGAGCTGTGGCCTGTGGTAGAGATAGTCCCAAATGATCATGGATTCATTGGATGGATGAGTAGAACATCCTATTCCAATGATTTGTAAGGTCCATTAATGCAACGACTGATAAGGTTGCTGGATATAAGTATATAACATCTAAAGAAATGATCTATATTGCAGCTTGTCTTTGCCAAGCTAACTTTTCTTCCATTTCCTTGTACTATTACTGCTGTTGCCTCTAGTGGTGTTAGAATTCATCTCCCTTCTTTCTTGATGAACTGACTTGAGAGAAAAAGAACTTATCTGAAAATCTCACCTGCTTTTTTACAATCTTCACCATCTCCTGTAGAATATTCCTTTCAGCAATTTGAAAGTGCACGTTATCACCACAGTTCTTTATGATTGTTTCCAAAAGCTGAAAAACAAAAGAGAAGAAATTGATTGAGTTTTCAAAAAAAAAAAAAAACAAATTTGCCATAACAGTATTGCTTTTGTCTGAAGTAATCAAACAAGTAATCATGCATGAGGTACCAGCTACAAGAATCATGATAGAGATTCTAAAGTGACAAACACATCCACCCATTTCTGCATGGATTTGGAGATTATGAATATATTTATTCTAAATACAAGCATTTGCAATTCGATATAAGAATGTATATGAAAAACTCCCATTAAACATACCGTCAAAGCAAGTAGTTGAACCTTTGGGTTCTTATTCTGCAACCGTTTTTTCAGGACTTTAATAACATCCTTTGCCTGCCTGATCAAATTCAATTCACAGCCTTTAATAAACCATCGGTAAATTTATTCTCTTAGAAATAAACAAATTAATGCATAAACGAAATAAATTTCAAACGATGTCACAAAGGGAGTGTAAATGGACATAAAACTTATCAGAAACTTTTCTTCACGCAACTTATCCCTGATAAAAAAAATAATACCAAAGGGGGTGGGAAAAAGGAAGGGGGAATACTTGCTCCGTGAGAGATAAGCACCCCGAAGGAAAAACACAAGTTCTTACAAACAAAGTATACTGTTCTTAAAATCTCAGACTCATAAGTGCCAACTTCATAAGCCTTAAAAGAACAATATACTAAAATTGCCTCAGCTTTATCTAAATCGGGAACTTAGAAACCAATCCGGATCTTCAGAAAATAAAAAGGGAAAAGTATATCCAACCAAACTACATCTAACAACAAACTTGTAACACTAGAAATCTACATCCAAGGAAGAAGTAGAAGAAATAAACACATAATAAAGGTACTGCAACATCAAGAGACCGTCCAAACTACAGGTTTTAGATAAAACAGAAGCCTTAAAACATGGTACAAAGTACAAACAACAAATGAAAAAACAGTCCTTAAATATGCAAGAATATTTCGTAGATATCAAAAGTTCAATTCTTATTTTTACCCGTAACTGGAATTGATGGAATCACAAATTTCCATATTCATGGTCCAATCGGGACCGATCAGAAGATCGCTCGTGGCCTTCTCGACTCGAACTGTAGCTGAAGAAGACATCTCTCTTCTCCCGAAGAAGAACAAAAGAAAACACAGCGCTTGTTGTCGAGAAAACGAAGAAAAACAAGGGAGCTTCAGCAAATGGTTCCTCTGAACAAAAAATCCGCCATTACTGTCAGAAGAGAGGAGGAAAAACCCTAAAAAGGTGCGTTGAAAAAGGTGGGGTTCTCTTCTTTCCCTTACCAGTCGACTTGTTTTTCGTTTTTATTCTTTCCCGGACTTTTCGTTTTTAATTTTTTTTTTTTTCTTTTATCTAATTTTCATTCTTCGTGTTGTTCTACTTTTTAGTATATAAAAAATATAAATATTTTGTATTGTAATAAAAAGTCATAGCGATAGCAGCAGCCAGCAGGAGAAAGGAAAAGAGAAAGCGGACAAGAGGGATAGGCTCGTGTCCTCTAGGACTCTCACTCTGTCTCTTCTGTTTAGACATGTAGACTTGCGAGTTCAATTTTGCTACGGCATAGTTTTACTGCGGGGCTAAAAGCATGAATCGTGGCCTTAGATGTATTGTTGTGGGTCCATTACGACGTCACTTCTTCTAATTCTAAGGCTTTGATTTCACGGTTGCAGCGCGGGGCTAAGAGGATCTCGTAGCAAATGCGGTTCGTCAACAAAATACCTCATGATATCGAGGAAATAACGAAAATACCCTTTTGCTCACAACCATAAGACAATTTTAATACACGTAAGCAAGAAGGGACAGCACAACGCGGAGGAGCCTTCCGGCCTTCCCTTCCCCCCCACTGCCACTGTGCCACACATTCCCATCCATGGCAATATATTTGAAATTAAAAATCATCGTTTTGTTTTTTAGTGTAGTAAATGATAAGAACAAACAAGATACTACACTTGATCTTAGCCAGAAGGAGAAGGCATGGAAAAGTCATTTAAAATACGCGTAAAAGTTTAGTCACTATTTTTAGAAAAAAAAAAAAACAAAACATATTAAGCTTGGAACTCGATTAATGATCAACTAATAACAAAAAAATGTAGTGGTGATCATTTACATATATAGTTCAGTTCGTAGGGATGAATTTGATCCGAGCTTAGTCGAATATCATCTTATATAATTAAGCTTGGTTTGGTAAAATAATATGAGGTTTGAGTTTGAATTCGAGTTTAAGTTCAATTCTAATAAGAAACTTGAGATTGAATTTGGAATGACTTGAAAGCTCACATATTCAACCTTAGTTAGGTTCAAATTCAACAATGAAGCAAGTTTCGTATAAAAAAAAAAAAACTGTATATATAAAAAATTATACATGTAAAGCATTAAAAATTATTATATAATATAAGCTCAACTAAGTAAGCAAGCATCATTGGGCCTAGCTCAACTCGAAGCTCAATTTAAATCGAATCAAACCTAGCTTTTCAAAAGCCAAATAGCTCATAAGAAACTCTGTTTCTGTCGACCCTACTAGTTTGTCTAGCAAATTTTTACACTTAGAGGGGTGTTATTTTTAGGCATGATGTGGACCCATTTTGACCCACAATATATTTATATATCTTTTATATTTACTTTATATGTACATATAATATTATAAAATGTTGCATTATCATCCAAGCTTATAATAATATAACATATTATTGTAATATTTTATATTTATACAAGTCATAATATCTATTTTATATTTTATGCATGTATATATTACATGAATGCAAAGCTCTAGTTTTCCTAACAAGTCAATGTTGGTAGAGTTGTTAATGGGCTGACTCAACCCGATGGACCCAAACTGATTGGGTTGGTTATGGTTTTAGGAACTATAATCAACGAGTTGGTTCCGGGTCCTAATATAGTGTCCTAATCATTATTGGTTCAAACCAATTCCACTCAATCCCAAATCGATTCAAACTCAGCTCGAGCTATATTTGCAATATATATAATATATTAAATAAATTATATATATATATATATATATATATATATTATAATTGGGTATGTCGGGTTAAACCTGATTGTCTTGAGAACCGATCGATTTGGTTTTGGTTATAAAAATTACATACCCTATCGGGTCCGATTCGATTATGGGTCCTCAATATTTCATGTCAATTCAGTTCCAATTCTAGATAGTCTTGACCCAGACCCGACTCATTGACAACCCTAAATGTGGGACATTGATTAGTTGTGAAAACTAAGGTTTTATGGAAGAATGCAAATTGGGTGGCTAGCGTCCCACATTGTCTTTTCTTTTTTTTTTCAGTATTTGGTGATACACACCACTAATACCCCCTCCCCTCTTCCCCAAAGTTGGGGTTGTGAGAATTGAATCTACTATATTGGAGTGAACCAGCTACATATCAACTAAGCTACCCCTCATATATAAATAGATAAAATTAGGATAACCAATCTATTCATTGTTACAAGCCCAAAGCTTGGCTTGGCCCCAACTTGGACCCATACAATCTTTTGGTGCATATACTATTGTTATTTTTATGATAAAAAATAAATACCATAAATATATAAATTTTGTATTTTATCTTAATTAATGGCATAGGCTTAAAACTTGCCCAACCTAGCTTGAGCTTGTATAGATCTAGACTAAAGCTTATATTTCAAGCATGAGGGGCATAATGTGATGAGTATGTTGTGTTTATTGCAACTTAGGCATGTGTCATGTGATCACATGCTAGTGCATTTTGCAGCTTCATATGATGAATTTTGATTCATCACTCAATACATGCATCGCACTCAAATCTTATCATTATCGCATTGTAATCCTATGATTCATCACATCGCAGCTATTTCCTTGCTCTTTGTTGTTTGACATGATCTTATCACAACCAAGGTCCTTTTCATTGCAGCTATGGGAGCCTCGAGCTATATTAGTAACTCTTTACCTATTCATCATATTGATTCATAAAGATTTTTTGTTGGTTAATGAATAGTTAGGGAAGATGCTAGTTCAAGGTCCCAGCAGTGATGGCTAATATAAACTTCCCAATAGGTATGGTCTTATCCTCCAATAGACTAACATGCACATATTGGTCATGCATCTCTTTGTATAATTTAGCAGGTCATCACACAATTTGGGCTCTTAGTTCATGGTAGTTCTATTTATTATATTTGTGGTTCTTGTTAATTGGCTAAAAGCCATAAGCTTCTGTTCTCTTCATCTACTTCAGTATCATATGGACCACTTGATTTGATTTACTCAAATGCTTACGGTCTTGCCCTCGTATTTTTTATCCATGGGAATCATTATTAAGGATGTTTGGTTCCATTGGCATTTTTTTCAATAAACATTGTCACCTTAGCGTTTGGGTTGATAAACGTTTATTGAGTTTGAAATTAGTGTTTGGTGCAATCGTGTTTATTGGGAAAACAGTGATAAACGTTTCTTCATCGATTTTGTGAAATGATCCATTGGGGGAAGTTTTAAATTCTCACTTTCCCCCAACAGCTAGACATTTCGTGAAACATGTAGCTGATGTGGCACTAACATGTAAGTTGATGTGGCACTTGAGGTTTTCTGATCCGATGCAATCCCCATTGAGAGAGGATAGCTGCAAACAGTTGGAGTTGCAGAGAGAGTGCTCTTCTCGCGCTAACCGGATGCAATGGACGTCGGTAAGTTCGTTGCCAACACTGTCAATCCCCCGCCTTAATGTCGACAAGGTGCTTCATACTAACCACTTGGCTTTTTTGGCAGCCCTATAACCCCTCGCAAGGGGCTTCAAAGACTATTAACCCCCTGCAAACTTTCTTTGTTGTTTCTTGCCGATTTGAACAGTATGTCCAACATACCCTTCCTCTGAATGTTGAGCTTCCTTTCCATGTTTGGTATTTTAGTTCATATTTGATTTCTCATATTTTCCTCTTATCCATGTTCTCATTAGTAAAACAAGCATCATCTTCTTCATCCGCAACTGAAGTATTCTTCTTTTATCTTGATAAAGTAGTATACAAGCAAGAATAAGTTACAGATAATCTACCTATGGGGATTTCTATTTTATTATATTGGGAAAGTTCCTTACCTTTTGCATATTGCATTCATGAAGGGGGTTTATAAGTTACAACAAGCATATTCTATTTTATATGGAAGATTAAGAGTTAATTCAACAAGTTAAATAGTTTTATTGTAAGCAAGGATTAAAGTATCGGTATCGGGTATCGCATCGGACAACTCAGATATGCTTTGGAAGCACATGATATGGACGAAAAAGATGGAAACGCATGGATACACTAGAGAAATACATACAATTTTAATAAATATATTAATAACAATATATTTAAGATTAAAATGATCACAAAATAGTATATATAAAAACATAAAAATGTAAATATTAAGGATATATATGAGGAAATATAATTACGATTAATGAACCTTGATGCATAATTTTATTTATAGTGCATCAATCAATAGTCCAAGACACTAATGCACCTATTATATTTTAATTATTATATCAATTATTTTTTATTTTACTATTTTAATTTTTTAGAATTAAGAAAAAGTCAACTAAATATTAATTTTTCAAGTGCAAATCAAAATATCAATTAATAATTTATAAAAATATAATTGTAACTTAAAGTATATCAAATTTGTTAAAATTTCTAAGATGCATATCATATACAAATTCATAATTTATAATTACTAAAATAATCATTCCATTATTAATATTTTTATTTATATAAATTTTATGAAATAAAAAATCATTTTTTGAAATAAATGTAGATTAATGGATTTGAAAGATTCAATTTAATATTATATTCTTCAATATTTTGTATATAATATTTTTATTTTTTGTAAATAATAAATATGTTGTTATTACTTATTAATGTAAATTAAAATATTAGATAGTAACTAATAAAAGTATATACAAAATTTAAGCTTTATATCATGTGCAAATTTATAAATTTTAAGCATTAATATAATTATTCTATTATTAATATTCTATTTTATAAATTTCTTGATATTAAAAATTATCTTTTTCATATAAATGTGGATTTGATACATTATTTATTCTATTAGTTTATAAAATACTATTTTAAGTATTATTTTTTAATTTTTAGTTAGAGTTGTTAAATATAAATATGTGTTTTTATTTAAATTGCATGTGAACAGAAAATGTTAATAAAATTTATTTTATTTTACTTTATGTCACAAAATGAAGCGTGGCTTATTGGTTTGGAACCGCAGTGATTTCTAAATGTGTATGAGGTGATTCGACTTTGAATCACCTCATTCACGTTTTTATGAAGAATGGATGCAGCGT